GAGGCTTGTGTGTGTGTGTGGAGAAGTGAAAATGTAAACATAAGCAGCCTTTTTTGCAAAGCCAGAGGAATCTTTTTCTAGTTCCTGGCTTTGGAGGTTGGATGGGGTTGGATTTGCCGGCAGGGGAAGGATTGAGGGATTAGTCAAGGGCTGATGGGAGGGGCAGAGAAGGAAGTGAGACAGCAGCTGCAGCAGCTGTTAAGAAGACTTCGTCATTCATTCACCACTGCTGGGTAAGAGAAGCTGAAGATACCAAGAGAGAGTCGAAAACCCTTTCAGGCATGTGGCATTCTAGTGGGGGCAGAAAGATGGAAGTGAAGAGAGACTTCCTAGTTAGGCTTTAACATCTGCCAGGAGATGGTCTGGTTGGGTCCAACCCACACCCACACATATTTTCCTCCTCACCAACATGCCCCACAGACTCCAGTCCAAAATCTAGGAAATAGATTTTCTCCACAGTAATCATCCTAAGTCTCAGTTCTCAACTGTCCCCTCAAGTGTCTAAATGCTTCCTCGGAGTCCTACGATCCCCTTTTGATTCAACTGAGAACTGTGCAGTTAACCCACTAGCAATGGACCCCCCTTGCCTGTGTCCCTCCTGCACCTGGGGCCAGCACTCCCTTTCCCATGACATTCCCCTCACCTGACCTATTCCCTCCATTTTTGCCTCTTGAAATCTTGCCTGGCCTTGATGTCCACCTCATGTAAGAACAACTCAGGATGTTCTCAGCCTCTTCTGACACTCACAGTTTCTGCTGTTTCTGTACTCTGTCCTGCATAATTGTTATTTAGGGAACAATTGTTATCTTCCCAGTAACTGGAGTGTCTGTTTCTCAGGACAGGTATCTGGCGATGTCATTCCTCTCTCCTTACAAGTAACACTCTTGACTGCGGGCCCACCCTTGACTGTGCACTCAGTTGTGGTTCAACGCACGCATGAGAAAGGTCTGTGTAGGTCATTTTCCCAACAGCATGACCTCGTTCCTTAACTCATCTGGCACCAGAGCCAAGAGCAAGGTGGCAGCAGGATCAGGCCACCCATGGTCAGTGGTTCTTGGACAGGGAAGGAGGATCAGAGGGACCCAGAATAAGATACCAAAGCAGGTTCCTTCTCTACTCTGCAGAGGGAAATCTTTGATTAGAATAAGCTACAGAAGGCCCCAAGAACTGCTTTTTGTATTGTGCTGACCCTTTAACCATCCGTTTCTCATACAGCAGCTTCACTCATCGCCTGATGCTTCTGGTTTATGATTAAAGTGGCTTCTGAGTTCAGCGACTAATGAGAATAAATGTAATTAGTATTTGATCATTCCACTCAGGACTGAGTTGCTATTGAGAAGGCACAGAAGAGGGGACTGTAAATGCTGAAGAGCCTGGACAGGCCACAGCTTTTATCTGAACAAAATGATGCTCAGGGTTTTTTTCCCCCCCTCCTAAGTATATTGGAAGCCTTTGTAGAGGCCAGGGGCTTTTGAGGCCATTTGTCCAAGAAGCACCCAGTGAAGCCAGGCCTGGGTACCTGCCACAGCTGCCCTAAGCCAGAGGGAAACAGCTGTGTTCTGAACAGGAAGAGAGTCCACTGCCCATGAGGTAGCCTATCAAGAAGCCATGTCTACTCCAGTGAGGTGTGCCACATTGGACGGTATCGACCTGATCCAATCATTCTGTCTTGGGTCCTCCAAGTCAACAGAGGGGGAGAGTCACCTTGGTACGGTTCTCCACGGACCAGCTATACATGCCAATCATGTAAGTGCTAGGACCCAGAGTGACTTCTGATCCCCTTTTCCTTTGCAATAAAATCCAATCTTTGAAAGAAATCTGGGTGTATCTCTTCCTTTGAGTCACCTCTAGCCATGGTGTCATCCCAGATGAGTCCAGACATCTTAGCACCCAGAAAAGCCATTCTTAATATTACGGTGAATATTCAGATTGAGATTCCTGACACAGAATCAACAGGCATAGTAAAACACTTGTGTAAGCTGCTAATTTTTAGGGCTGCAGCAATAGTAACTGGTATATTTACTTCATCCCAAGAGAACAAATTTCACAGAACACACAGCCGTATACTGGGTCTGTTACTGAATCCAAGTCTAGCTGCCTGCCTCCAGACAAAAACAAATAACTTGAAAGTCAAATGTTGGTGGAATAGGAAAGAATTTACAGATGTTAGGGCAACCCATCTCTCCGGTAAACCAGAAAGAGAATGGCCAGACTAAAGCCATCTCAAAGACTCAGATTTATCGAGGGTTTTTGAAAGAGGGAGTTTAGGGAATGGAATGAGGGAAATGAAAAGCAGAAGGGAGGGGGATGTGTGAGGGGCCAGGTGCAAATACTCATCAAGGCTTCATCTGACTCTGTTCTCCTCTTTGGTGTTGTCAAAGGGCCCTGCAGGATTTCTGATTTGCTTCTGGGTGGAATCAGCATAGCTTTATGGAAGTCTTCTATGGTTTCTCAGGGACTCGATTTTTATGTATCTCACGCAAGTTTGCAACCCCAGGCTGACTGGAAAACAGCTTTACTTTTATGTAAATACTGTCAGTCTGCACCTTAACCAAGGTTCAAAATATCAAATAACTATGGGAAAAGATGGAACTCAGAGAAAGGCATGTTAAGAAAAAACTGTGTCTTTTTTTTTTTCTAAAGCCACTTGGCTTTAGACCCCAACATGCCTTCAGTCCTTCTCATTCTAACAGGCCCCCAAAGGAGCAAAACATGGGAAGGTTGCACAAACTCCTTCCATCTTCAAGCCTTCTCTCTGCACTTTTGCTTCAGTCCTGTCTCTCTGCAGTCCACCTTCCTTTGATTTTCCGGACCACATTGTGAGTGGAAGAGTCCTTCCCACAATTCTCGTGCACCCCTGCTATAGGTGTAACTGATTACATGTCACTGAAAAATTCAGTCAACCTTTACTGGCCAGCCACCAAAAAAAAAAAAAAGGTCTGGCTAATTAGCTCAGTTGGTTAGAGCACAGTGCTGATAACACCATGGTCCAGGGATGGATCCCTATGTACACCAGCCAACGACAAAACAAAACAAAAATTAAAAATTCAGTGGAAACCATGAAGGGAAGTCCTCTAGCCTAGATTGGGTCAGATGTCCATCTCAGATCCAGTCCCTGTGGTGGGGCCTGGGGCCATGTGATATGGACACGTGTTGGAAGACAGGTCACTACTGCTAAATGGATGGGGGTGGAGGCATCCCTCACCTGGGGGAGAGGGTGGGCAGACAGAACTTAACCGGCACTCACCATGTTCTCAGAGGCAGAGCCCTGTAAACAGATGCTGTTAATACCTCATCCCGTATCCTCTTGGCCCATCTCAGTTCACCAATAGCTGAGGCAGACGGTTTCCTCCAAGGATAACAACTTCAGACCTCACGTGCCTGCCTTTCTTCTCCTCCACCTGAGAGCTTTCTCCAATATCAGTGGTATTTACTCTCTTGCAACGCATGGTCCAGCCTAGAAGTGCAGGAGAATTAATAGCTCCAGGGGCAACCTTCAACCAGTTCAAATAAAAGAGGATGCGCTTTGTGGGTAAATGCCCCAGGCTTACTATCCCTGAGAGGACTTTGAGATTTATCCCACAATTTTATATGGTTTCATAGAGAGTCCAAGTTCGAACCCAGTTGTCTACATGGTAACAGATCCATGAATGAGCTCTTTGTACTATTTCTCTCTTAATTGGCTTTCTCCCTACTCTGTCTCACTTTATTTCTGCACTGGTATTTCCTGGGATCACTTCCCAAATAAGCGTGGTTGGCTGAATAACGTTCCTCCCTCCAATGATGCCCACTGTGAAACTTGTGAATATGATGTATTACATGGCAAAATGGACCTTACAAATGAAATTAAGGTTATGGACCTTAAAATAGGGAGATTATTCTGAATTATATTGGTAGACTCAATCTAATCTTATGAGTCCTTGAAAGTAGGAGGCAGAAGAATCAGACAGATGCCCTGGAAGAAGAACAAAGAGAAATTCAAAGATCGAAAGGGACTCAGCCCACTGTTGCCCATTTGAAGATGAAGGAAGAGAGTCAGGAGCCAGGGTTGGCAGCCTCTAGAAGCTGGGAACAGCCCTCCGGTGACAATCTGCAAGGAATGGTGGCTTCAGTCCTCTAACTTCAAGGACCTGAATTCTTCCAACAATCTGAACAAACATGGAAACAAATTCTTCCCTAGAACCTCTAGAATGGAAGTCAGCCCGCAGACACCTTGATTTTAGCCCAGTGAGATCTATGTCAGACTTCTGACCTACAGACATGTGAGATAATAACTTTGTGTTGCAAGGAATGATTATGTTCTGTAATGATGAACATGCTAATTACCCTGATTTGATCATCACACACTACACATAGGTATTGGTATTCAACTCTGTGCCCCACAAATACGTTTATTCGATTATTTTCCAATAAACTTTTTAAACATAAAATTTGTGTTGCTTTAAGTCTCTAAGTTTGTAGTAATTCATTACAGCAGCAATGGGAAACTAATATAATAAAGATTTTTTGCAGATGTTTCAATGAGGTAAGCTGTGAAACTCTGGGGAGAGTGTGGGTGAGCAGACTTTTCAGAGTCCAGAAAAATACCAGTCGAGGAGTGACGATTACTAATAAATGTATCGAACAAATATAACTTAACCACTACATGCAAGGGAAAGGGATGCAGTGGGGAAGCAATAATAGGAATGATAACGAAGAGGAGCTTTTCTGTAGTGTCCTTCATTTGAAAGGATTATCAGTTTAACATCCACCGATGATCAAGGGTGGATAGACCCGTTTTCAGGAAGCGAATTCCATAGTACAGTTAAAAAAACCCTGAAGTTCTTCTAGCTTCCTTTCTCCCAAATTCATGTATACTGGACAATCACTAGGTTATTAGCTACACTTCTTAGAGACCTAGAACGTAGGAAGTTTGATTATGGCTCCGCGATGGCACCAAACACAAAGAACTGTCATAGGGGATAATTGAATTATTTCCAGTAAAGTGCCTCAGTCTGTGCAGTTGTCACTGGCTGCTTTGGAGGAGGACACCCTCAGCTCCAGACTGGGCAGGGAGAAGCAGAGACCTTACATCAACCTGAGGCTCCCATCTCCCATTAGCTAAGCCCAGGGTCACTGGGGTCTCCAGGGAAAGGTCAGACACTAGGTCAGGGACAAAGGGACTTTTCACTCCTTTTGACACAGGGCAAATGGTCAGGGCGGTGGGCTCGAAAGTCAGAATTCTGAAAACAGGACACAGAGGCCCAGAGAAGGAGGTGTGGGGAAAGGTGTAGACATGAGAGCCATCCAGAGCATTGTAGAACGAGACCTCTCCAGCCTCATAGTCCAGGAACACCCCCACTCTTCTAGGGGGCTCGGCAATCTTCAGTTCTGTCCTGGGCTCTGTGAGAGCACGATACTTATCCCCATCAGATAGCCCCATAGTCCAGTATCCATTCTCGGGTATCATTTTAACCCAACCTTTTCTCTCCACGTTCTCTCTACACACCCCGATGTGCCACTCTTTCCTGTCCCCCACTTCTACCTCCCAGTAATGCCTCCCTGCCGTGAAGCTGTCACAGCCAAGCACGCAGTAACGCCAATCAAATCTCTCAGGGCTGTCTGGCAGATCCTGTGGCTCCTCTGCACGCTGGACACTCCTCTGGTCCTCAGAAACAAGGAGGATGGGGTTTGCTGTGTCTGGATCCAGAATCACGTCAGCTGCAGAGAGTTTGAAGATGTGTCTGTGGACTCAGCCATTCTTCCTGGACCTCAAAACTTCAGCATTCAAGGCCTGAGCCTTGCCCAGGAGGCGAGTCCAGAGCTTGGCACCCCTAGCCTGCTCTGAATGTGACTCTAGTTACTAATATGGGAGAAGGCCTCGGGGGTCCTGTGTCCAGTGGGGAAGGGGAGTGTGAAATGACGGTCAAGGTCTGCCTAGCAAGATATCCTGACGCTGGCTCAGGAGGCAACAAGATTCCTTCCTTCTACCTTTTCCTTATTTCCTTCCCAAAATTGACCCTGCCCATTTCAGCTTTCTAGTCACATACATTTGACTTACACTTGTCACTCTACCACTCGTGAGCTGAATGACATTTCTGCATAGTCTCTCTTTCCACACATCCAAGTGATGGAACATCACTGAGCCTTACCTGAAGCATTTCCTTACCTGAAAAGTGGGGATAAAAGTACTAATCTCTAGGGTTGTATAACTCAACAGTGTAACTCACGCAGACCAGGGCAAGGCACAGAGGACGCACCTGACATGTAACAGGTGCCATGCCTTCTCTGTGCTAGGGGCTATGGTGGGGGCTTTATGTGCCCCCACATCCAACCTCTTCTGGGTCCCAGGAATCTGTCCTGTATGGACAGCATCTCTGGGCTCCCTTGTCCTCTGATTTCCTGTTGAGTGTGGCCAGTGGGAGGCCCTGGCAGAAGACTGGAAGGATCAGATGGTGTTGCTCTGACAAAGGCAGGACTCTTTGGAGGCAGCCTGTTTTGGAGCTGCAGTTTCCTCTGGCCTCCAAGAACTGCCCGCCTCCCCATCCCTCCAAGCCTAGGGCTGGAGACAGCTCCCCACTGCTGTGAGGCCTGGGACACCGCACTTTCCCTCGCTGGTTTCCCTTGACCCTGCTTTCTCCAAACCCTCTTCAACCACTTATTTTGAATATGCCATCTTTCTTGCTAGCTTTTCGGCTAATACATACTCCTTCAGTATTTACCTTACACCTCCCAGCATAGGAGGTACAATCATCGTCTAACGATGTGAAAGCCAACGCTCAGACACATTATCTCATCACAGGACACGCAGAGACACTAGGTGGCATGAAGCCCTGGAGAGGCAAAGTTCCCTGTATGCTACCTTCTCCCCTTGGCGTTTCCCATCCTCATCCCCTGCAGGGTCCTGCAGCCTCCCTCTCCCCCTCGGCTCCACCCTTCATGCCTCCTCCTTCCCATGAAGGTCTCTGGAAGCCCAGGACAGCAACCCTCCCCAGTTCCCTGGGCTCTCAGCAGGAAGGGCCCTGGACTTAGGCACACCTTTCTGATTGGGAACTAAAGCCACCCACCGAAAACTCTCCTACTTGTGGGGACTTTCCTTCCCCAAATCTCAAGAGTTGGAGAGAAAAAGGAATAGGGCCCATCAGGTTGCTGGGCTGCAGTGATTCACTCACCAGCTTGGAAGAGGGCGTCTTTCCATTCTGAGAGGAGGAGACAGACCAGGAAAAGGTCAGTATTTCTGTCGTTGCCCCCACCCCATTCTCCTCATTAAGTCCTGTCTTTCCCTCTTTCTGCATAATCTCTCCAAGGCCCAGCTTCCCTCCTCCACAGCTCTGATGGATCAGGGGCGGCGACTTCTCACTAATGGTGGACTGTGTCCCCTCTGTCATGAGGGCCATGGGCTACGTGGACAGGCTTTGCTAGGGGGTGAGCAAGTGGTCCAGCAGGGGGAGGGTTCTCTCAAAGCCTCTGGAAGAGCAGACATGGAACCCACAGAAAATGAGCGTTTGGTTTTGATCTCATTATTCCTAGTGACAACGCCAATGGGTCCCTTCAGAGAAAAGGTTGAAATGTTCGGGGCACATGTCCCAGGAAACTCAGAGAACTTCAGGGTCACTCACCAGCATAGGCTGAAGACTTCTCCCCACCTACAATGGAAGAAGCGAATAGATGTCACCTGGACTCTGCCATGTCTGGGTCATCCCCTTTCCCTTCTTTTTGCCCCCCCCCCAAATGTTCAGGGCACATGTCCCAGGAAACTCAGAGAGCTTCGGGGTCACTCACCAGCATAGGCTGAAGACTTCTCCCCACCTACAATGGAAGAAGCGAATAGATGTCACCTGGACTCTGCCATGTCTAGGTCATCCCCTTTCCCTTCTTTTTGACCTCCCCCCTTCCCTACCTTCTCTCTGTGCATGTACAAGGCTCTCCTCCCCTCTCCTCCTTCATTTCAAGTCAGGGAACATCAATGGCCCCCTAGTGATGCCGCAGGCACCGTGTGAGTGTCTTCCCACCTGTGGTCCGGCTGATCTACTGTGTGTACCTATGCTCCTGTATCTGGGAGAAGGTGTCGCCATGTCTATGTGTGTATGTGCAAGTGTACAAGATCCATCTGTCTCAATCTGTGCTATTTCCTGCCTCCTTCTGAAAAGAATTTGGGGAACTTAATGAGGAAATTTCTGGGACTAATTTTCCATAGCAGATACAGTAAGTGTGTAAGAACTGAGTCACTATAGCTACTCCTGTTTACGAGGGACAGATTTCCCCCTCCATCTTTTCCGATTTTCCCTTTCCTTATAATCGTCCATTCTTCATTCCTTCTCCGCGTCCCCCAGAGAATGTAAAGCAGCTAGTGCGGATCCTGGCATAGAGAAGGCACCTCATCTGTTGTTCCGTCCTCCTCTCCCCTTCACTTTTCAATTGTATCCTGCATTTTCCTCTGTGCTTTCTGGGGCTAAAGGGTTGTGGGCCCCTAGAGGAGAGAGATTGAAGGCCTGTGCTGTCCTTCAAATAAAATCAAATAATTGAAACAAAAGGAGAAAAAGAGACACTCCTGGGTGTCCCCCCAAACAGTCACACCTATTTTCTTTCTCACAGTAAAAGGATCTGCGGTCATTTGTCAACCCTGGGCAAAGGGCTAGGGCTGGAAACTACCCAAGCAGAGAGTCTGAGATTAGAATTGTGAGAAAATGTCAGGGCCACTCACGAGTCATGTACTGGATTTTTCTCCACTCTGCAACGGAATAGACAGGAAGAGTCATCGAGTGGCTTAAAGCACGGATAGGAAGCCACACCTGCTCTCTGGGGACATGGTAACTTACTGAGTTCCTCCTGGAGCTTCTCTGGAAAATAAGCAGAAACAGTCATGAACTGTTAGCAGAGAGGGGACCTTCTGGAAAATAAACCTTAGCAACTACACAGCGCCTGGGTGGGGATGGGGGTGAGGTGTTCGGGCGCAGGCCTGGAAGCCAGGGGTTCGATTCCCTGCCAAGGCCAGATACCTCTCGCGTTTCGTTCCTGCTCCTTTTCGGCCTGAGCCTTTTCTTTCTCTTCCTGTTCTCGATCTTTCTCCTGGGACAGAGCCTTTTTCTCCTCCTGCTGTCGCCACAGGAAGTAACCGGCCCCTGCGAGAAGCAGCAACAAGGCCAGCAGGGTCGCTGCCAGGGCTGTGATCCAGGGCTGGGCGCTCCTGAAGAAGGGGCCTGCGAGGGGACAAGGGGATGAAGGGCCTGGGCTGTGGGCAGTGGGTGGGACACGCCAGCCCCCTCCCCAGCCTGTGGGTCCGGAGCTTCAGCTGCTCACCCGCTTGGGGGGGCCGCTCATTTACCCCATGAGAGCAAGTCATGTTTCTCTTCCTAAAGGGTCAGAGCACCGTGCACGTGAGCCTGTCGCACGGATAGCGAGTGACATGAGCGCCACGAGCATGGAGATACTTTCTAATACCCAAGTCTCTCACCACACAGCCCTCCTCCTCTCTCCCCCATCGATTAGCTTCTCATTTGTCAGCTTAATATGATGGTGAAGAACATAAACTGTGGAGCCGGAGGGCCTGGGTTCTAATTGTGACTCCTCCACTTGACTAGCAGTGCGACCCTGGACTAGTTACTTAACTGTGTGTTCCTAGTGTCCTTATGGGTAAAGTGGGGTAATAATAGCACCTACTCCTGACGTTAGAGGGGTGAAATGAATGCTTAGAAAGTGGTTGACATATAGCGAGTGTTGTATAACTGTTAAATTTAGAAAACATAAATAGAAATATATTCCTACTTTTCGTCTTCTTTACACTAAAGATAGCATTCTATGTTCATTGCTCTGCATCTTGCTCTTTCTGTGTAAACTGTACCTCGGAAATTTTTCTATATTAGTATAGCGAGAATTTCCTTGTTTCCATTCACACCTGTGCAGTATTTCCTTGTATGGAAGTTCCCCATCAGGAAACATTTGCATAGCTTGTAACTTTGTGCAATCATAATGGTATGAGAAATAGCATTTCACGTGGGTCATCCCACATAGAGGCAATCTGATCTGTCAGATAAATTCCAAAAAGTAGAATTTTATTGATTTCTTTTTGGCCGCTGGGCAGTACAGGAATCCAGCCCTGGAGCTGATATTATTAGCACCATGCTCTAACCAACTGAACTAACTGGCCAGCTCCAGAATCAACAAATATGTCGTCTGGATAGACACTGGATAGCCTCCAATAGTGGTTATGCTCATGTATATCAAAAATAAAACAATTCAGGACTTGCTGGTAAGCTCAGTTGGTCAGAGCAAGGTCAAGGGTTCAGATCCTGGAATGGGCCAGCTGCCAAAAAACAAACAAAAAAAGACCCCAAAAACCAAAAAACAACAAATTAATATAGCAAATGCCTAAGAGTTGCTGCCTCCCCCATTCCGGCCATCAACATGTGTTATCAACCAACTTAGTTTTATTTTGCCAATAACATGAATGAAAAATTCTTTAATATTCGTTTCTCTAATGAGTGATATTGAGAATCTTTTTCTGTGTTATTTCCTTTTCTGTAAGCTAATAATTCATGTTCTTTGCTAATTTTTCTATTACAGTCTTCTAAACCTCCTATTTCAAGGGGATTAGCTTGTTCTTTATGATATGAGTTGTAAATACAGTTTTCCCCCATTTTCTCATTTGACTTTGCAAAGAACATACCTTGACCATTTCTATCCAATTCCCTTTGCCTGTAGCAGTTTTGGACAGGAAAATTTCAGTAAATGTTAGTGGCATAACCAGATTTATGGAGGAGAGAAGCTCCCTTGGAGGAAGGAGGAGGCTCCAGGTCCCTGCTCTGGTCCTTTTATTCACTGCAAGGACCCAGGTCAGCAGGAGAGACTCACACGGGGGAGAATCACACGCCCTCCTTCTTTCCATAGCCAAGGTCCAGCTCGGTATACCTGAGGCCCAGAAGGGTACCGACCTGCGATGGAAATCCTGGCTGTCTTTTCCTGGCTGATGAGGGAATTTTTGATGGTACAGGATGGCCCCTCCCCAGAGCCACCTCTCAGGACCACGGATGCTGCCACTGCATACAGTCCTGCTTCGTCGGCAACCACAGGCGCTGCCACAGCTGGGATGCTGTGTCCCTTGGCATCTCTCCACTGCATTTGGGGCTGGGGGTACCAGCCAGTGGAGGTGCAGTCCACGTGGATCCCTCCATCCTCATAACCCTTCATTTCCATGTGAGGATCAGAACCCAGTGCTGTGGAAGGATAAAGCAGCCTACATTCCTGGAAGCCTCCTGCACCAGGGAGGGTCTCACCAGGAGAGATGGCACAGGCACATTGGATATCTCAGTGAGGTTTCACTCAGGAGCAGTTTATAAAGTGTGGTGGTGGTGAGGGGAAAACTACATGGACTGGTGCGGTACCCCAGGGCCATTTACAATGGGATATCAGCCCCCACCCCTATACACAAAGGAGGAGAAGAAGGAGCTGCTTTGAAGACCTAAAAGATGAGAGTCTTGTGTGGACGGTATCCATGAGAGGAGTTGTGATCCTAGGCAAGGGCATGCAGCCAGCCAGAGGCAATCCTGCAGGGTCTCCCTCCCCATATCCTCTGCTACAGCTCCCCACTGTCCAAACCCAACCAGAGCCACAGGGCAAGAGACTGCACCAAGACATCTGGAACTCTGCCTCTTCCCCCAGGTCCCAGGGAGGAAACATTTCAGAACAAAACCCGGAGGCTCACCTGCAACCTTCAGCTCCACGATGGCGTTTTCATAGAATTTGCCATCTTGGAAATAACAGAGGTAGTTTCCACTGTCAGAGGCTCTGACGTTTTATATTCGGAGAGCAGCCTTCCCTGCACTGATGCCGTCTCTTAGAATCGAAGTTCTCCCTCGATAGGCTGTGACCTGTTTGTCTTCCACTTCCTTCCCATCTGCATAGACGTTCACCTCCTGCCTAAGGCTAGACCTCACCCACCTCAGCTCCATGGACTCTGCACTCATCGCTGGGGACAGGTGACAGGGCAGATCAGCATCTTCACCCACCATAGCCAGGATGGGCCCAGCGGGTCCAATCACAGCAAAGTGAGCTGGTCAGCCAAAGGGGAAAGCTCCATCAGAGGGGTTAGAGTCGGGGCCATGAGAGAAAGGGTAGTTCTCAGGCAGGGAAGACAAGGTAGAAAGAGTCCAGAGAGGAACACGAGCCTAACAGAAGCTCAGCTTGTCTCTTAATGGTGGGTGACCCTTCACTTCAGATGGGACGTCCAGGTTCTCAGTGGGCGTGAACAGGTAATGTCTGCTTCAGACACACAGAAGCAGAATCATTTCCTACCTGAGCATGGGGTGGGTAGCTGGACCAAGATGAGGTACACAAGGAGGTCGAGCAGGAGGAAGGGCCTGGAAGTTGCCATTTTCATCTGTGCTGCATATCATGACACAGCAGAACGGACGGGGCAGACACTATGTCCTGGAAGAAGACATACGATTCCACGTTGGAACCTCCACTTCCCAAGCCTAACTCAACTGTGGTGACCCAAGAAGATCCTCCGCTGTGAGAAATGTCTGTCCTAAAGTCTCCACCATTGGATTCCACCATGGAAGATCATCCGTAAAAATATGTATGTGTTTGATGTACGTGTGCTATTCCATCAGGAAATCCACCACTCTACTGTCGGAAAATACTCAGAATCCTTCCCCACACTTCCCCTGGTGCAGCCAGGTCCAGGCCTCCATCATCGCCTCTGATTAACACAGGACCCTCCTCAATGGACTCCCTTGTTTTACTTGTGCCCACACTGTGGGTGTGCCAGCTAGCATGGCTTGTTCCTGCTGTGTTTCTAGCTTGCTTCCACCTGACCACTCAGAGTTGGTGCATCCCTAAATAGAGGAAGAGCCCAGGAGAACCCCTCTGGGTGGATCCCTCAGACACAGGGCTGAGAACTGGCCCCAGGCCCCTCCCTTCCCCTTCCCTCCACTCCTGTGATGTTCCCTCCTGCTGGGAAGAAGTTGGGTTGAAAGGAGTCCAGACAAAGTGACTGGAGGGTGTCCCCTGCTGGGAGTAACACTGTGGACTCCTCCAGATGCCAACTCCTGACCATCAGCATAATCACATCACAGCCCAGCAGACTCGGCAGGATCCGGGCAGACTCCCTAGAGGTAGTCAGGGGCTGAACCCACTGCTTTTTAATCACAGGCCAGTGAGTGGGAGAGCTGGGAGTAGGACCAGGTCTCTCCCGCCTTTCCCTTCCTTCCTTCAGTCAGTCAACAAATACTTACTGAGAACCCACAATGTGCCAGGCACACTAAGTTAGTTGTTAGGGACAGCAAGAGGGTAGAAAATAGGTAATGGCACTGTGATTCACGAGCTGTGTGATCTCAGTCATGTGACAAAACCTATGTGAAATTTAGTAACACCTAAAACATTGGGAAATGTGAAAATCAAAATGTGCACAATTGGCGCAGCAATTGAATTCGTGTTGTCTAGTTCAGCACAGTAGTTCCACGAGTGCAGAGGCTGGCACTGTGGCATTGCATTTCAATGTATGGAAATAGTAGGAACCAACCAGCCCCCTCAGGAGACTGGTGAGAAGGGTGCCGGCTCATCCCTGTGAGGGAATTCCACTCCGCAATTGGAAAGAGTGGTTTGTTGTCACTAACCTGTGTAATGGAGATGTCCTAAGTGATTAACAAGCACGCTGCAGAGCTGTCCTACTGACTGTATAAGTAAACAAAAGCAAAGCTATAGACTTGTGCACACATACATGTGTAAATGCCTTCAAAAGGTCTCGAAAGCTGCATGCTGAACTGCAGACTGGAGGTTAGGGCAGTGAAAGGACACTTTGGCCCTTTGCTCCCTTTTCTTTTAAAATTATGTGAATGTTTTTAATTTGAACAATTTTACGTATTACTTAATGATAATTGTTATGAGTAATTCTAGTGAGTGGCTCATACTAGCTGGTCAGTAAATATTATCTCCTCACACCGTTTCCTCCAAAACAAAGGAGCCCGAGGACAAAGTCAGAGTCCCTGTGCCTTGGGAACTGCTTGTGAGGAGGTCTGCAAGAGTGTGGGGAGGGGTCATGATGGGACAAGGGTGCAGAGGTCTGTGCAGCTGGCTTTCCCTCCAGCCCTGCCTGAAAGCTGCTGCACCCTCAGACTAGACACTGCTTTTCACCACATCCTCAGCTCCTCAAAACTAGAGAGGGGCAGCAATTTTTATCTTGGGGTCCCTGAGCTAACAACTTCTGTGCTGTCCTCACAGTAAGAACACATTTTCAGGGCCGGCCCGTGGCTCACTCGGGAGAGTGCGGTGCTGATAACACCAAGGCCCCGGGTTCGGATCCCATATAGGGATGGCCAGTTCGCTCACTGGCTGAGCGTGGTGCTGACAACACCAAGTCAAGGGTTAAGATCCCCTTACCGGTCATCTTTTATAAAATAAAAAAAAAAAAAAAGAACACATTTTCATGTATTTTTTACGATGTTTATTGTTCTTTCTTGCTGATTATACACAATTTTGAAAATGGAGAAGAAAATAAAGGAATAAAAATTTAAATAATCTGTAGTGGTAGTCATATACTTTGCTAGTGGGAATGCAAATATTTCTGGAAGTATTTTAGCCATACATTTAGCAAGGGCCTTAAAAATTCCACTTACAGAAATGACTCAAAAAAAAAAAATCAGTGATTAACACAAAGATTTATGTTTAAGGCTATTCAACATAGTGAAATCTACAAGAGCAGAAAGTAAATACAGTTTAAATATACAAATAAAGAAAGAGGTAAATTAAGGGTTTAAATTCCCCAATTAAAAGACACAGATTGGCTGACTGGATAAGAAAGATGGACCCAACTTTATGCTG